GACCTGCAGGCTCAGCGGCCATGGCTCACGGGCCCAGCCACTCCGTGGCAGGTGGGATCTTCCCGGACCGGGGCAGAAACCCGCGTCCCCTGCATCAGCAGGCAGACTCTCAACCACTGCGCCACCAGGGAAGCCCCCGTGTCTCTTTTTGAATTATGGTTTTCTCAGGGTATATGCCCAGTAGTGGGATTGCTGGGTCATATGGTAGTTTAAATTTTAGTTTTTTAAGGAACCTCAATAATGTTCTCCCTAGTGGTTGTATCAATTTACATTCCCACCAACAGTGCAGGAGGGTTCCCTTTTCACCACACCCTTTCCAGCATTTATTGTTTCTAGATATTTTGCTAATGGCCATGCTGACCAGTGTGAGATAATACCTCATTGTAGATTTGATTTGCATTTCTCTAGTAATTAGTGATGTTGATTATCTTTTCATGTGCATCTTGGCCATCTGTATGTCTTCCTTGGTGAAATGTCTATTTAGGTCTTACACGCATTTTTTTTTTTTTTGCGGTACGCGGGCCTCTCACTGTTGTGGCCTCTCCCGTTGTGGAGAACAGGCTCCGGACGCGCAGGCTTAGCGGCCATGGCTCACGGGCCTAGCCGCTCCGTGGCATGTGGGATCTTCCTGGACCGGGGCACGAACCTGTGTCCCCTGCATCGGCAGGCGGACTCTCAACCACTGCGCCACCAGGGAAGCCCAAAAGATTTTTAGTTTCTGCTCTCAGGAACATGACAAAGAATTTATAGCAATGAATGAAATGATTGTCAGGTTGGGGTGTAATTCACAGCGGGCATTATGGCTTTGTGGATGATTTGGTCATCATGACTATGATTTTTGTCCATCAGTGTTTGTCAGCTGGGTATGGGAATTAGAAAGGATGGTGGGAGCTATCTAGAGTTGGATGTTGATCTGGCAGACACAGTGGAATTTCAAGTTGATGAGGAAGTCTATATTGCTAGCAAGGATAGTGTTGAATTAGCTGGGAGCTAGCTTGCTGTAGGAAAGACCAGTGTATCCAGAACAGAGTTGATTGGGGAAATAAGAAGTAGAGGCCCTGAAGCACTAATGAAGAACAGGTACCTCATTTTTTTCTTTGTTGATGATTCCGAAATCTTTATCTCTTTAGTTCCAGGTCTGAATTTTCCACTTGACAGGGAAATCCTGTTTGTACCTTACAGTGAGCCTGCTGAGAGTGTTCCTTATTACCTCAAATCTTTTTGCTCTCTGAATTAATACTGTCATCCACCTAGACAGTTCTGCTAGAAAGTGAAAGTCATCTTTGAATCTTTCACCGTTTATATCTAGCTATAGGTTCTATCCATTCTGCCTTTGCAAAGGAGAGTGGTGTCTTAGCTTTCTTTCTGCCCACCTGCCCTGGTTCCAGATTAGGCACTTGTCGCTTTTGTAGCCTCCTAACTAGTCTTTCTGAATTTATGCTCTTAGCTTTTGGGACCATCTTTCAGAGAAACCTCCCCTCTTATGCTTCTCAGGTAGTTTCTTAAGAGTAGAATTAGTGTATTACTGCTCCATATTTTTATAGTTTGCACACAGGGAAAATATACATACTCTTAAGGTGTGCTTAATAAATGTTTGTTGAATTAGTGGCATAAGAAGGTGTTGAAGAACTTTGAGGCTCAGATGGATCATTTGTGTGCATGTTGAAGACTGAGGATGATGCCAGAGGACTAGGTTAAAAAGGGAAATTTGAGTCTATGAAGCTTTGTCTCACACATAATCGTTTACCACCTACCCCACCATAGATTTAACCACTTCCTTAATGTGTACTTGCATATTACTTTATACTTGATTATTGTGTATAGTTATATCCCATTGTTTATATCCTAGTCCGTTCTTTATCTCTCTTGTTTGCAAAATGAGATTTTACCACATTGCTAGACTAAGCTTCTCAACGTAGGGCGTCATGTTTTAATTATTCTTGTATCTAGTACAACATCCAGCACATAGTAGCTGCTCCTTATTTGGGGATTGAATCCCCATCCCATCTCAGTGACTCCAGTCTCTTCAGATAATTCATCGTGCTTTTCAGGTGACATCTGTTAGATATGGAGTTCAAGTAGACTTGTCTGTAACTTCCCATTGGCTCTCTTTGAAACCGAGGAGACCTGGGACAAGTTCAGGCCTCTCATTAGGTATATCTCAGAAATGGGGATTTGTTTAGGAGTTATCTAGTAGGTATTAAACATTGAAGACTTTTACTTAAAAAAGGTAATAGTACTTTGGCTGAGAATACTCAAAGAAATTTTACCAATAATGATTTTATAGTGAGTTATTCCAGAAGACTACAATATTCTCCTATTTTCTAGTTGGTTTGAAATTAATTCAAGAATGTAGACATGCTTTTACTCAAGTCTCCCAGGAGAGGGCTCTCCATGAGGTCAGGGCTTAGATCAGATTGATCTGGTATTGACCATTTCTAAGAAAACTGTGTCCTAGTGTGTTTAGTGACCTATTTGAAGGTCTCCATAGAACAAAGTGTATATAAAATGAAAAGTATTTTGGTTTGTGATATATGCGTGCGTGTATGTGTGTGTGTGTGTGTGTGTGAGTGTGTCTATGTTAGCTTGAAATGGTGATATCTTATTTTGACCTTTTTTTTTTAATGGGTCACATTTTCTGGGTATGATAATTCAACTTAATTTTCTTTGCCAAGATCTACAAACTCAATTACTTTTTCTCTTCAGATTTCCTCTAGTAATACAGACAAACTTCAATGTGTCCTAAGACAAAGTAACAAAATGATGCATTTTAGACTTATAAAATGAGTCCCAATAAGCCATTTCAGGAGCATGTTGAATGATCATTAAATTGTAAACACTATTAAAGGATCACATCTTTTGGGATGAAAGTGAAGAATTAAAGTAGTGAAGAATCTTCCTAGTAGATCTCTGAATAAATACTTTAGAAAACAAATCTATAGTCAGTTTTAGTTGCTTTTTTGAAATTATTTTGTGCAACGGTGGAAAGAAGCAAAGGAAGTTTCAGAGTGGTTGTTTGAAACTTTTAACCCCTTCCCCCCCATTGAGGTATTTAGAAAGTGAATTTTGAGAATTATTCTGAATTGCAAAGGGATTTAATTCCTTAAAACTGTTCCTTTCATTCAAGATCATTTGTAAGGTTTTACTATTATTCTATAAAAATGGTAGTTTTTTGTTTGTTTGTTTTTGCAGTACGCGGGCCTCTCACTGTTGTGGCCTCTCCCACTGCGGAGCACAGGCTCCGGACGCGCAGGCTCAGCGGCCATGGCTCACAGGCCTAGCCGCTCCGCGGCATGTGGGATCTTCCCGGACCGGGGCACGAACCCGTGTCCCCTGCATCGGCAGGTGGACTCTCAACCACTGTGCCACCAGGGAAGCCCTACAAATTTCCTTTTTAGCACTGCTTTCCCTGTATCCCTTAAGTATTGGTAGGCTTTGTTATCATTTTCATTCATGTCAAAATATTTTCTAATTTCCCTTGTGATTTCTTCTTTGCACCCTTGATTGTTTGAGTGCATTAATTTCCACGTATTTGTGAATTTTCCAGATTTTTTTCTGTGATTGATTTCAGTTTCATTCTGTTGTGGTCAGAGAACATACTTTGTATTATTTTAGTCTTTTCAAATTTATTGAGACTTGTTTTGTGTCCTAAAATTATGGTCTGTCTTGGAGAATGTTGCATGTGCAGTTGGGAAGAATGTATATTCTACTGTTGAGTGGAGAGTTCTACTGATGTCTATTATGTCTGGTTGTTTTATAGCATTGTTCAAGTCCTCTGTTTCCTTACTGATCTTTTTGTTCTGACCATTATTGAAAGTGGGGTATTTGAGGTTTCCAATTGTTACTGTTGAACTGTCTATTTCTTCCTTCGATTCTGTTGGTGTTTTTTTTTTTCTTTTGGTGCATGTATATATTTTATTGAAGTGTAGTTGATTTACAATGTTGTGTTAGTTTCTGGTGTACAGCACAGTGATTCAGTTATATATTATACATATATACATATACGTAAATATTACATATTTTTTCATATTCTTTTCTATTATGATTTATTACAGGATATTGAATATAGTTCCCTGTGCTATGCAATAGGACCTTGTTGTTTATTCATTCTGTTGGGTTGGCCAAAAAGTTCGTTTGGTTAATGAATACATTTAATAAAGTTCTTGGTGAAAATGAAAAATTTTTATTTTTACTTAAAACCGAATGAACTTTGTGGCCAACTCAGTGTATATAATAGTTTGCATCTGCTAGTCCCAAACTCTCAATCCAACCCTCTCCCACCTCCACTCCCTCTTCGCAACCACAGGTCTGTTCTCTATGCCTGTGAGTCTTTCTGTTTCATAGATAAGTTCATTTGTGTCATATTTTAGATTCCACACATAAGTGATATCCTATGGTATTTGTCCTTTTCTTTCTGACTTACTTCACTTAGTAGGATTATCTCTAGGTGCATCCATGTAGCTGCAAATGACATTATTTCATTCTTTTTTTATATTCTGTTGTGTATATATGTGTGTGTGTATACATATATGTGAGATATATATATATATATCATATATATATATGTCTCACATCTTCTTTATCCATTCATCTATCTATGGACATTTAGGTTGTTTCCATGTCTTGGCTATTGTGAACAGTGCTGCTGTGAACATAGGAGTGCACCTATCTTTTTGAATTATGGTTTTGTCCGGATATTTGCCCAGGAGTAGCATTCCTGGATCATATGGCAACTCTGCTTTTAGTTTTTTGAGGAACCTCCATACTGTTCTCCATAGTGGCTGCACCAATTTACTGTCACACCAACAGTGTAGGAAGGTTTCCTTTTCCACACCCTCTCCAGCATTTGTTATCTGTAGACTTGTTTTTTTTGTGTGTGGTACGCGGGCCTCTCACTGTTGTGGCCTCTCCCGCTGCGGAGCACAGGCTCCGGGCGCGCAGGCTCAGCGGCCATGGCTCACGGGCCTAGCCGCTCCGCGGCATGTGGGATCTTCCCGGACCGGGGCACGTACCCGTGTCCCCTTCATCGGCAGGTGGACTCTCAACCACTGCGCCACCAGGGAAGCCCATCTGTAGCCTTTTTTAATGATGGCCATTCTGACTGGTGTGACGTGGTACCTCATTGTAGTTTTGATTTGCATTTCTCTAATAATTAGCCACGTTGAGCATCTTTTCATGTTCCTGTTGGCCATCTGTATGTCATCTTTGGAGAAATGTCTGTTTAGATCTTCTGCCCAGTTTTTGATTGGGTTGTTTGTTTTTTTGTTATTGAGTTGTGTGAGCTATTGGTATATTTTGGAAATTAAGCCCTTGTTGGTCACATCAATTGCAAATATTTTCTCCCAGTCTGTATGTTGTCTTTTCATTTTGCTTATGGTTTCCTTTGCTGTGCAAAAACTTGTAAGTTTGATTAGGTCCCATTTGTTTATTTTTGCTTTTATTTCTATTGCCTTGGTAGACTGACCTAAGAAAACATTGGTACGATTTATGTCAGACTTTTTTGCCTATGTTCTCTTCTAGGAGTTTTATGGTGTCATGTCTTATGTTTAAGTCTTTAAGCCATTTTGAGTTTATTTTTGTGTACGGTGTGAGGGTGTGTTGTAACTTCATTGATTTACATGCAGGTGCATATATGTTTTAAATTAAATCTTCATGTTGGATTGACCCTTTTATCATTTTATGATGTCCTTTTTTGACTTTTGTAACAATTTTTCTTGACTTATTTTGCCTGATATAACTACTAATATAGTTATACTATATAAACAGTATAACTACTGTTATACTGTCCTGTAGACAGCATACAGATGGATCTTTTTTTAAAAAAAATATTTATTTTTGGCTGCGTTGGGTCTTTGTTGGTGCATGTGGGCTTTCTCTAGTTGCAGGGAGCAGGGGCTATTCTTTGTTGCAGTGCATGGGCTTCTCATTGCGGTGGCTTCTCTTGTTGCAGAGCACGGACTCTAGGCGCATGGGCTTCAGTAGCTGTGGCTTGTGGGCTCTAGAGCGCAGGCTCCGTAATTGTGGTGCACAGGCTTAGTTGCTCCGTGGCATGTGGGATCTTCCCGGACCAGGGCTCGAACCTGTGTCCCCTGCATTGGCAGGCGGATTCTTAACCACTGTGCCACCAGGGAAGTCCCAGGATGGATCATTTTTAAAATTCATCCTGCCAGTTTCTGCCTTTTCATTGGAGAAGTTGATTTATTTATGTTTAAAGTAATTACCGGTAAGGAAGGACTTCTGCCATTTTGATATTTGTTTTCTACGTCGTGTCTTTTTTGTTCCTCAATTCTTCTTATTACTGTCTTCCTTTATGGCCGCTTTTTCTGTAGTGTACTGCTGTGATTCCCTTCTTGTTTCTTTGTATATTTTTAGTTTTAGTAACTTTCTTAATGGTTACTCTGGTGACTACAGTTAATCTTAATTTCTAACAATCTAGTTTGTATTAATACCAACTTAATTTGATAGTATACAAAAACTTTTTTTCTATATAGCTTCATCCTCTCACCTTTTTATTGTCGTCACAAGTTACATCTTTATGCACTTTATGTAGATTTATAATTATTGTTTTATACAGTTGTCTTTTAAATTAAATCTTATGAAAAAGGAGGAGTCACTAACTAGAAATTCATTAATACTGACCTTTATACTCACCTATTTAGTTACCTTTACCTGGTGTTCTTTATTTCTTCTTGTGGATTCAAGTTACTGTCCATTGTCCTTTCATTTCGGCCTGAAGGACTCCCTTTAGCATTTCTTGTAGGGCACTGGCAACAAACTCTAAATTTGTTTTTATTGAGGTGAGATTTACATAACATAAAATTTACCGTCTTAATTTATTTTTATTAAGGTATAATTAACATACAACATTAGTTCCATGTGTACAACATAATGATTTGATATTTATATATATTGTGAAATGATCACCACAGTAAGTCTAGTTAACATTTGTCACCATACCTTGTTACAGAATTTAGTTTACTGTGATGAGAACTGTTAAAATCTACTCTCTTAGCAACTTTCAAATATGCAATACAGTCTATTAACTGTAGTCATCATGCTGTATATTACATCCCCATGACTTATTTTTTTTATAACTGGAAGTTTGTATCTTCTGACTCCCTTCACCCATTTTGCCCACCTCTCCCCCTTCCCTCAGTCTCTAACAAACAACCACCAATTTTTCTCTGTATCTATGTGCTTTGTGTTTTTGTTTTTTTAGATCCCACATATAAGTGATATCATACTTACGGTATTTGTCTTCCTCTGTCTGCTTATTTTACCTAGCATAATGCCCTCAAGATCCATCCATGTTGTTGTAAACAGCAAGATTTCCTTCCTTTTTTCTTTGGCTGTGCCACGTGGCTTGTGGGATCTTAGTTCCCCAACCCGAGATCAAACCCGGGCCCCCTGCCATGGAAGCACGCAGTCCTAACCACTGGACCACCAGGGAATTCCCAAGATTTCCTTCTTTTTTATGGTTGAATAATGTTCCATTATATATATGTGTCATATTTACAGTGGCATGAATATTATTTTATTGTATATATACACCACATTTTCTGTGTCCATTTGTCTCTAGATGCACACTTAGGTTGTTTCCATATCTTGGCTATTGTAAGTAATGCTGCAATGAACATAGACATGCATATATCTTTTCAAATTAGTATTTCTGTGTTCTTTGGGTAAATACCCAGAAGTGGAATAGCTGGATCATATAGTAGTTCTGTTCTTTTTCTGAAGCATTTCCGTAATGTTTTCCATAGTGACTGCAGCACTTTACAATCCCACCAACAATTACAAGTGTTCCCTTTTCTCTACATCCTCTCCAATACTTGTTACTTCTTGTCTTTTTGAAAATAGCCATTCTAACTGTGGTTTTGATTTTCATTTCTCTGATTAGTGATGTTGAGCATCTTTTTATGTACCTGTTGGCCACCTGTCTTTTTTAGGAAAGTGTCTATTCAGGTCTTCTGCCCATTTTTTAATTGCATTGTTTGTTTGCTATTGAATAGTATGAGTTCTTTACATATTTTGGATATTAACCCTTTATCAGATATATGATTTGCAAATATTTTATCCCATTCAGTAGGTTGCCTTTTCATTTTAGTTTTGTTTTGTTTTGCGGTACACGGGCCTCTCACTGTTGTGGCCTGTCCCGTTGTGGAGCGCAGGCTCAGCCGCCATGGCTCACGGGTCCAGCCGCTCTGCGGCATGTGGGATCCTCCCGGACCGGGGCACGAACCCGTGTCGCCTGCATCGGCAGGCGGACACTCAACCACTGTGCCACCAGGGAAGCCCCAAGTGGTCGTTTTTAACCATATTTTTGGGGCCCTCAATCTTTAGTTGTGATGCTGTTTATTAGTCAAAAAATAGTTCAATTTCCATTTTATGTGATATGTCTCACACATTTCTAAATGGTGTTTTGAGTAAGTAGAAGCAGTTGTGAGTGAGAACCATTGTTATTTCTCAGACTTTATAGTATATTTTGTCTGGTAGGATAACAGGCTATGGTATAAAATTTTTTAATATTGACTTTTCACTATTTTAACACTTTTCTTGTAGGTGTTCAGATTCTGTAAATCCAAGTGTCATAAAAACTTTAAAAAGAAGCGCAATCCTCGCAAGGTCAGGTGGACTAAAGCATTCCGGAAAGCAGCTGGTAAAGAGCTCACAGTGGTGAGTACGGTTAGCTATCAGTATAGTTTTTACAGTTTTCAAAATTTTAACTTCTGGGTGGGAGATGTGATTTCATTAACTCTAACAAGGCTTCCTATAGAATGGTTAATGAGTGACTTATTTGCATTTGGGTTTGGTAATCTCATTCTCACATGATCCTCAAAACCATAAATCTGTAGAATTCTGAAAAGGAAAAAAATTCCTAATCTAGTTCGTAGAAGTGATTTTTCTTATTCTCGAAAAAGTATTTTTAGCTTTTGCAACAAGGGGAGAATTATTTAAATGGATTGAAGTTGGAAATTGCTACTTAGGGATTTTGAAAGGAGGTTAAGAGGTTAAAGGGTTTTTGACTAGCAGTGAGGGCTCAGATGAGGTTTGTAGTAGACTCATCAGTTTCTTGATTTCTTTAGCAGGACTCTGTCTGAGAGCAGAGAGCTTAGTTCATAATGGCAGTGTAAGGAGGAATAGTGAGGAATCAGGGGTGAGGGAGTTCCATGGGGCAAGCCCCCACCATCATATTGCTGTTAATTGAGTTGGTGTAAGGACCTGGTGAAGCTTATCTGCACTCGATCCTTAAAAAGGGAGGAGGGGAGGCTGCTGCACAGGCTACCTTTGAGGGAGGAAGAGCTTTCAACTGTCCCCTTCCGCCAGACTTCCTCTCCCCCCAAACCCATAACTCTTCCCCACCTCGCCACTCCTTAAAGACAGTATCTAAGTAGTTGCTATGAAGCCCTTTGCTGTCTTTCTCGACACCTGAGGTTCTTCAGTGAACATAAAGAATAGTTTTTGACAACATATAAGGCCAATCATCATTGTCACAAAAGTAATTTTCACTGTGGACGAATAGATATGTTGCGTCTCAAAAACAGGTGGCACCTGTATGAGTGAAGAAAGGATGCCAGGTCATAGTCATTTGCTGGTGACCACTTACCTTATCATGGCTGAGGTTACTGTGATCTGAACAGAAGCATGTGTATATAAATGAAATAGCCAAGTGCAGAGTTAATGCTGTTCCATATGCCAGAGTCTGATAGATTTGAAAACTAAGAAATATCTGTAGTTTTTCCAAAATTATTTTGCATGTTTTGAGATAAATAGAATTGTTAATTGTCAAAATACCAACTACATTTGGAGGGGACTAAAGAATTTCAGGCTGAAGCTTACATCATACAGAGTAGTACCACATTATTTGAAGATGTGTAGTTTCAACTCTGTGCTGTAACACAAAGGTTTATAGGTATTGAAATATATAAACATGCTAGGTATTTTTGTTTGACTTTTTGATCTATGGGAAAAGGCAATTTCATATGGTTCAATCTAATATAAAGTTTTCTGGCTGTGAGTCTCATCTAGGAATAGGAAATTAGGGAAGCTTTTTTAGTTTGTTTATAATCCCCATGATGATTATAGGCCCCTCTGAGGGATGGTGGTGATCCTCTCCCCACCCCTCCCTTTGAGCATCACTCATACATAGAGAGACATTTTCAATAGGGCTGTCTTGTACATCGTGGTGTTTAAAGGAGAAAAAGTTTGAAAACTTGTATCCTCTGGGATCGCCCCCGGGGAAATCTTAATATGTGCCCATAGCTTGAAACACTTAGAACTTTTGTGAAGGAGAAAAAGTTTTAAGAAATGCTTCCTTTCCACCTCTCTTTTTTTTTTTAAACATCTTTATTGGGGTATAATTGCTTTACAATGGTGTGTTAGTTTCTGCTTTATAACAGAGTGAGTCAGTTATACATATATATATGTTCCCATATCTCTTCCCTCTTTGTCTCCCTCCCTCCCACCCTCCCTATCCCACCCCTCCAGACAGCCACAAAGAACCGAGCCGGTTTCCCTGTGCCATGCGGCTGCTTCCCACTGGCTATCTACCTTACGTTTGTTAGTATATATATGTCCATGTCTCTCTCTCGCCCTAACACACCTCACCCTTCCCCCTCCCCATATCCTCAAGTCTGTTCTCCAGTAGGTCTCTGTCTTTATTCCTGTTTTACCCCTAGGTTCTTCATAACATTTTTTTTTCTTAAATTCCATATATATGTGTTAGCATACGGTATTTGTCCTTCTCTTTCTGACTTACTTCACTCTCTCCCCACATCCAAACTTCTTGAAGAACTAAGTTGACAGTTTCTCCACTTTGCCTTCTAAATACAACATAAGTGTGCCTCCAGCCAACATCCCTCCTCTGAAACTGATTTCACTGAGGTCATCAATGACCTCTGATTTATTAAAACACCATGGGTACTCTTCAGCCTTCCCATACTTGACTTGGCAGCTAGCAGCCCTTCTCCATTGTTTTTTTTTTTTTTTTTTTTTTTTTCTTGCGTTATGCGGGCCTCTCACTGTTGTGGCCTCTCCCAATTGCCGAGCACAGGTTCCGGACGCGCAGGCTCAGCGGCCATGGCTCACGGGCCCAGCCGCTCCGCGGCATGTGGGATCTTCCCGAAACGGGGCACGAACCCGCGTCTCCTGCATCGGCAGGCGGACTCTCAAGCACTGCGCCACCAGGGAAGCCCCTATTTGTAGTTTTTTAAGGAACCTCCATACTGTTCTCCATAGTGGCTGAACCAATTCACATTCACTTTTGTGAAGGAGAAAAAGTTTTAAGAAATGCTTCCTTTCCACCTCTCTTAAAACCGTATTTCTCCTCTTCTTACAGGATAATTCATTTGAATTTGAAAAACGTAGAAATGAACCTGTCAGATACCAGCGAGAGCTGTGGAATAAAACCAGTAAGTCACAAGGACTACCGGGAATTTTCAGGAGACACTGGTTTGGGATATTACCATAACTTTAATATCAGTTGGTTGTTTAAATATTAAATTTCTTCTTTTCATTAGTTAGCTTTTATACTTTTATCCTTATTTTAATGGCTGTGTTGTATTTGTGGGTTTTTTTAATAAGCTATCCCAAATCCTTTTCAGAATTGGCTGATGTATCCATTATAAAAATGACAGTTACTAAATTTGATATTATTTGAAGTGCCTACACAGAAATATAAAAACATTCAAATATCTGGGGAAAAAAATAGAGATGTAGAATACTTTTGGGGGGTGAGTGTGGCATAGTTAAAATATACAAAACACGTAACACACTTTACAAGTTTAGATAATTTGGTTTAGGGATATAAGTATTGTTTTCTGTATACCTAATAAAACTTAGTGATTCTGTAAAGTTAAAAAGTACAGCATGTAAGGTGATAATTACAAATTTTCTAAGAGAACTTTTAAGTGCTTGACTTGGGTAAAAATGAAGCTATAGGCTACTGAAACTAAAAGCAGTAATGTTTCTTATCTACCTACCTACCTATCTCTGTTTTGTTTACTTATTTAAGTAAGCAGAGGCTTTAATTAAAAAAAATTCTCATATGTAGTAAAACGTAGTTCCTTAAGCTAGCTTGTAGATTCTACTATGTCTCTGTGTGTGTTCGAGGCCCTTGGCCCTGCCTTTTCTCCTTCCCCCATGCCTGCTTATGCAGTCTTTAGCCATTTCTAGTCTTGGGTGTGGAGGTGATGTAGTTTGTTAACTAGAAGTCTCTAAGACTTAGCATTCTACCAACTTTATTGGTCTCTAATGGATTATTGGCAGGGCATACTTTTCAACACCTTTTCACCAGTTAGTCACAAGACTTCAGAGGAAGAGTTGGAAAGTTATGGGCCTTTGTAGTAGCATTTGACACCCTCTAAAGCTTTGTTTATCTTCCTGAACTGTGTGGAAAAGTCAGAGTCCCAATTGGGAATTGCCGAAGTATTCTGCCCCTTGGTGTGCTTGTTTGTTTTTTTTCTCTTTTTAAAAAATAAGGTCTTTCCCTTCTGTTTTGTAATTAGAGGAGGAGTTAATTTCTGATTAGCTGTTGGTTTTATTGGGTTTATTTAGTAAGGAAATAACACTGATTCAAACTCAAGGATTTCTGAAGAGATTAATAGGATTTTTTAAATTGAGATTATAATTGACATATATTAGTTTCAGGTGCACAGCACAATGATTTGATATTTGTATATATTGTGAAATGATCACCAAAATAAGTCTGGTTAACATCTACACCATACATAGCTAATTTTCATAGGATTATTAAATTGATTCCTAAAGGTACTCTTGGCAGGGACATTATTGGAAGATCCTAAAGCATTTCTGTACCCCACTGAGTTTTATTTCACTTTGGCCTTTGTTTTCTTTTTTGTTACTACTTGAAGATAGCAGCTGCAGACCATTTTTACCTATAACTACTTTTATTTGGTGGGTATGCAGCTTGATATGGAAAGTGAGGTACATATTTTAGTCATCTGTGGATCTTCAGTTACTAAGATCCTCTGTGCTGGTATCATGATGTTTATGTTGTTCCTGAGAAATACTGTGTGTCCTCTAAGATGTTGTATCCTTTACCAATAACCACTGACTCTAGCATACAAAGATGAACAGGGCATACACAGTCCCTGATCTCTCAGTGCATTTTACTGAGTACTCTATTTTATTGTTTCTGTTAGACAGTAATTGGTTTAGGTATTATCACAGAGTCTCATTCATTTGCCCCACTCAGATCCACAGACTACACTTTAAGAATCTGGATTGGGAATTGTGCTATTTAGTATGGTAGCCACTAGCCCCAGGAGCTGCTGAGCAATTACAATGTGACTAGCCTGAATTGAGATGTTCTGTAAATATAAAATACATGCTGGATTTTGAATACTTAGTATGAAAACAAGCATAAAATATCTCAGTAATAATTTTTTATATTAATTACATGTTGAAATGACAGTATTTTGGCTATGTTGGTTTAAACAAAATCTAAAATTTAATTTTCCTGTTCCTTTTTACTTTTTTTAAAAAAGTGGCTACTAGAAAATTTAAAATTACATATGTGATCTATCTTACATTGGACAGTGCTGATATAGATTCTAGAGTAGTTGGACTCAACTCCCTTATAGCCAAGGCTCCTCTACACATTTTCTGAAACAGTTGGATTTTAGTGGTTAAGAACGTGGCAGATTGATTGACTGGTTCATGCTACCAGTATTCATCATGTGCAGATCATATCCTAGGCACTTGAAGAAAAAGTGGCTTTTATGACCAGGAAGATAGAGCCTATTTATGGAGATGACAAGAATGGGACTGTCATTAATCCAAGTTCTCTGTAGAATAAAATTTGAAAAGCATTGGACTGGTTTCAAGTACAAGGAAAATTCAGTAGTAAAGGCTTTTGCAAAATAAAAGTTAGAGAAATGATACATGGGAAAG